CCGTACGTTCAGAATCGAAAGATTTTTTGAAGACGCACACAGCAGCACAAGAACCATGATTTTTCTTTACGGTCCCAACGAAAGCTACACTAGTCCTCAAACGTGAAGTCATTTTTTGGCAAGATATCGTACCGTACAGTACCGAAACAGAAACAATCTTTCCAGTACCCAAARTACTACCGATTACCGCACAGAATTCATTACAAAACAGGGTTTGGGTCGACAGAGCTTCGCTGAATCTGTAGTCACCCACTTCCTTTTGATAGAATACCTGTATCGAATAAAGAACGAAAGTGCAGATGGACAATCAGGGCATACCTAGTGCCAGGATTACAAAGGAAGAACAAAAGCAGCTTATGGCGACCGCTGTCGAAGCACTGTCTTCGTTGCCGTCTCAAGTGCAAAACTCAAGTCATGCAGAGAGTCAAGATGTTGGCGACACGAATGCCGAGAGTCAAGAAGCCACAAAGGTCGATTTCACGACTCATAACAAGGGCACGGCAGCAGAAACTCGAGACACTCRTTTGCCAGTTGTGAAGTCCTCCTCTGTGTTTGACCGTCTCTACAAGTCCCACACAGTTGCTTCGAAGAGTCATAGCCTGTCATCTATAGCTAGCCTTAAGCCTTCAACACGGGCCAATCTTCCCATCAAGAACACTTCTGGGACATCCATCGAAGCAGAACTCTCAAATTTTAACCGGATGACAATTTCTCGTTCGAAGAGAGCTTGTACTCCGCACAAAATAGATTTGGAGGGAAGGAAAACATCGTCGGCTTTTCCTTTTTCTACACCCCCGCCGAGTCATCGAAGAAAACGCCCTTCGTCACAGCATCGAGCTCCGCATACCGCACCATCAAAACCGTCTGCTGGGAGCCCCCTCTATGCTACGCCTCGCTCGGCCAAACGAGTTTACGAATTTAGTCCTCGCATGAAGCCTCTTACAAAATTATACTTCGTCAGTAAATTTCATCCCGGTGTCGGCCTCGAGCCGGTGGAACCTATTTCATTGGGTTATAATTTTTTTCAGATGTTTTGCGAGTACGAGACGGGGGGAATTGACTCAGAGGACATTGCTAAAATAATATGCATTGCGTTCTTCAAGAAGGACCACTCTCGAAGCATTCGCCACTGGAAACTTAACGAACCCGTAGTGGGAAAGAAAACTAAGGCCAACAAAGGTCGACGTGGTGGTACKGTCTACCCGATCACGATGCATGCTACATATGCGTGGGGTAATTCTTATCGCGTCGTACACGCAAAGGGTACGGTGAGATTCAAAGGTTCGACTAGTAAAGAAATCTGGGTAGAAAACTTTACCTACAATGTCAGAGGTGATCCATAATGGAAAGACAATTATGATTTAAGCTTCATTTTTCGTTGATTTCTCTCTTTTGAATCATTGGAACCGGCGGTTYCTATTATTTCTGTTGGCCTTTCCATTGGACCACAGTATTCTTCACCCGTCGGCCACAAAATGGTTTCGGGAAGCTTCCACCCTACGATGGCCAAGTCACCATTGGCATTTTCTAGTTTGGAAAGCGGGGCGTGACCAAACCAGTACAAGATCAATCCGGGGCCAAACCGATGCACGTATGCCTCTGCTTGCGTAAGCACAGTTCTGTGAGTRTCAATGTCTCCAAACAGAGCCTTTTTCCAGATATGATCATTTGTACAAGRCGGCGTAAGATTAAACAGCGTGTTAGAATTGAGATCGAATTCGTTTCTAAAATTGGTCATATCAGCTATCCAATTTCGGGTATCAAGGCATTTGAACGTTTCTGAGAATTTTCGTATTGCATTTTTATCAGAATAAAATGCTATTGTTCGTTTCTCACCTTCGAGTCGACCCAACAAATTATGTGCCAGTCTGTGCCGACTTTCACACTAATTGGACAAGATCTACAAAGTGAAACATTTTTGAGAGGAGGGATAGGGAATCTTTTCGCAATTGTAATCTTCTCAAAACACTTTGGACAAGGATTGAAAGCTCGTAGGAACTTACAATACCACATCAGGTGTCCGAGAAGAACCTTTTTCTCGAAGCTTCGCTTCTGATTCGAATACTATTCCTACTTGTAAATAACGAATGCAGTWGTCGAGATATTTGTTTAGAACAACGCAGATGGATCAATTAACGAACGAAGACAGAAATTTTCGACGAAACCATCAATAGTTGCCATCAAGCTACTTGCAAACGAGGAAATCCAGAGGTTCGCTTAGAAAATACCCACCTAGATTCTTCAACGCTCGCTCCAATACTATTTCATATTCTATCCCAATGAAATGCCTTGCACGATCAGATACTGGTCCAGAGAGTGGATCCGAATCGATCGCATTCTTTACTTCYCGAGCCAATCTTGTCGTATTGATAGTTACTGACGAAGAATCTGGTCTGATACAGTTTGGAGAAGAAACGAARAAAATGCGGCCGTGAGACGAGACGAGTACGCAGATTGTTAACTTTCATAGAAGAGACCCACCTATCGTTTTGCTTGTATTTTTGTTTGATAACATCTATGTTTTCCAGTTTTTCAATTGGATTTTTCATTGCAATACTCAATTCCTTTTTCCCAAGATCGGTTAATTCCCCCACTATTTGTCGAGCTAAGAGAGCAGGAGAAAAATTTGCCTCCTTAGCCAACTCTACTATTG